CGCCGCGAGGAGCGGTTGGACAGGCGTCGGCGGAAGGCATTGGCGAATGCGCAGTCCGATCTCGTTGCAGCAGGCAGGTAGTCGTTCTTCACGCCGGATGATAATCGGTGGCTGGACATCTGGCTAGATACCTCGGACGACACCGCTGAGGATGATAGTGACTTAAAGGGTGTTTGGATCACTAGTGACTAGAGACTAGTAATAGTCACTTTTAGTCAGTAAACCTCCAAACACCCCTGACTAATGAGTGACTAAAACTAGTGTAGTCCCTAGTCACCCCACCCCCAACTAAAAGTGACTAAAGTCTCTCCTCTAATTAATTGGCGGGCCCATCCTGTTGCGGGCACAAGGGAGAGAAGAGAGATAAATGGAAGGGAAAGAGAAGAATTTAATACTGAGACATTTAATGCTGATTAGTAGTAGTCACCTTCCAAACATGGCCTGACTAAAAATTTTTAGTCTGACTACTACTAGTCACATGACTAGAGAGTGTCCAAACACCCTCTTAGAGTATTTTTTTATGCAATCTATCTCGTTTTTTATCGTTTGTCATTTTTATTATTATGTAATCTATGTTTTTGATGTAAAATACCTTTGTATCGTTTAAAATCTATGCAATCTATCTAGTTTTTATGCTTTCAATGCCTACATTTCTAGTTTATAGAATAAGCGCATGCTGTATTTTTTGCGCGCTGCTGGAGCGACCGCGCGCGCTGTATTTTAGCGCGGCTGCTGGAGCGCTCGCTGCACGCCGCGCCAAACCAGGCGATGAACACGCGCTAAAAATGTTTTTTGCGCGCGCCGCGTTCGGCGCCTGTTGGAGATGTTCTTAGGATTTACTACTACCAACACAAAAAATAATGCAGCAACCGAGCAGAACAAGGACAAACCGACCGACCGACCGACCTCCCATGGCCATGGACCACCCACCCTAGCCAGGGCCTCGAAAGAGAGGAGCCCTAAGCAGCTAAGCTAAACAAAAGCCGACCCCGCCGTGTATGATTACCGGATCAGCTCATTCATGTGGCGACAGGGACACTTAAAAATTCCCTCAAGCTAGCTAAAGCTAACCCCATGTGGGCGTGCGTCTTCCATTTCTCCAAGCTTTCCAATCCCGCCAGCGATGCACACACGCTCGCTCGTAGTCACCACGCCGCAAGTGCACGGACGGTGCTGCCCGGGATCACGAGAGAGAGAGAGAGAGAGAGAGAGAGAGAGAGAGAGAGAGCCCAGCAAGATCAGCTAAAGGAGAAAGAGAAAAGGCGAAACGAGGCGACACGATCTGCGCTGCGCATGGCTGGAACGCGCCCGTGCGACGGAAGGTGCCGGGCAGGCACAAGGCAGTGTCGAGTCGGGCGCTGCTGTGCTGCTCGGCTGTGCAGACGGAGAGATCTGCGCCTCTGATGCGCCTGCCGCGGCCTTGTACGCTCGAGCGGGGAAAGGAAAGCGCAGCCTGCCGGCCCCGGCTTTCGACCGCGCGATCCGCCCGTCGCTCCGATGGACGGACGGACGGACGACGGTTTCCTTGGGCCTGGCGCCGGCGCGCGGGGCAGAGCGTGACGTCCCAGCACACCCTGCCTGCCTGCCGCCGCTTTTTCGCTTTGGGACGACGAAACGGCCGCTACCCTACGGGGTACTCATGAGGAGCATCGCCCTACGTCGAGGACCCCATTCCGTGCTCTTCTGTTGCGCATAGGTTGCCCACTGTTGGCCGGCCTTGTTACTCCGAGACGGACTTCTGTTCGTCGGCTTGCGAAGCTGTAGCTGCAGGCTGGTCACTGCATCCGATCGACGGCCGGAGGTGGAGCCTGATCCCAGCTCCTCGATCATGTCCATGCAACCGCAAGAGCTAGTTGCTGATCCCACTCCCAGGCCGGAGGTGGAGGCCGTGCACATTCACAAGCAAACAAAGCCTCCTGGAGTCCTGATCACCTGCTGATGAGTTCCGGTCCTCCTTCCTTCCTTCCGTGATGTAAAACAAAGGAGCAGAGCCGAGTCACGGCATGGAAAGGCGCGCGCTCGTGCAGATGGAATGGAACAAGAGAGCAGCAGCAGGTTTTTAGCCAGGCCCAAGAGCAGGGCATGGCCGACCGCCGCTGTCTCCGAATGCAACCAAGCGCAACCAGGCCTTCGCCATTCACCAATGCAGAGCCGACAGACACGCAGCCAGCCACCCTACGGACGCACGTACAAGTGCGTGCTCGATCTGCTCCCACGCCTCTTCGCACGACCGATCGGACCCCAGCCACACGTCCAATCGCACCAATCTCCGCACTCACACGCCCAAGAAAAGAAAAGAAAAGAGAAGCGCGATGGTGCCGCGTGTACGTACATCGTACCGTCCCTACGTCTACGTGCGCCGAGACGGCAGACCGGCTGTCACTCGCCCCGTCACCCATGGCGATCAATCCAGCAGCACATCAAGGCCGGCACCGATCACCTCGATCAGCAAAGGTGAAAGCCAACCTAATGCATGCGTTCGGGTGGCCGTCCAACCAGGCTAGCCGTGCCCATCGTTTCCGATCGAGATCGAGACGGCCGTCGAAGCGGGCAGGCAGGGGGTGAGCAGCATCCCTGTCAGCCCCCGGGCCTGTCGTGTTAACCGACGGCAGCCGCTGCTCTCGGCATCCAACCCTGCCGCCTCTGCCCGCTTCTCGGCCACGGGCGCACGCACCGACTCGACTCGCATGGGCGCCCCTCCCTCGGTGCCGCTGGCGCGACACGCATTTGAGGCGGTCTGGTGCGCGCACACATGCTGCGAGGGGCTGGAGTGTCTGCGGCCGAAAGGGAAGGACGGCTCCGGGCCGGAGGCAGCCGCCCCGTGCAGTCCATTTGCGTCGCTCTCGTGTCCGACCCGTCGTCCGCAGGCGGGCGTCGAGGATGGAAATTTTGGCCAGGTTTCCATCCTATCCACCAAGTCTCCGTGGAAACCGTCGGGGTCTCAAAAGTTCATATAACGAAACATCGGTGTGCAGCGGCGACCATCTTCCGACACAAAAAACTGTTCCCAAGGCTCTAGCACGTATTTATCGGTGTGAAAAATGAATAAAACTGGCCCTTATCTGAAACTTCAACACAAAATGACTCCAATCTTGAAATATTTCACGAAATGGCCCGAAGCTAGGGCGCCATGCTAGAGTATGACGCCCCGGGCTAGAGTGTCATGGTTGTGGCATGTAGCATGGCGTTCTAGCCCCGGGCATCATGCAAAAGGGGTCATTTCATGAAATATTTTTAGATTGGGGCCATTTCATGTTGAAGTTTTAGATAAGGGCAAATTTTGTACATTTTCATGGGTTTGAATGGGGAGCCTGGGCTGTACTGCGTGGCGCGCTGCCATTCCCCCGCGATTAAAGACACGGATCGAGGTCTTACAATACTAATTATCGTGGGTGGCGGTGCTTCGCCCCCGCGTCCCATCCAATCACGCTCAGCCACTCGTGACCATGTCCGGGGTTGCCATCACCCCGCAGCAATCCGCACAGCAAAGGATCCCGGGCGCACCGCATCTAAACAAGGATCCCGGGCGCACCGCAAAGCCACACGAACAAAAAGCGAGTTACACCATGAAAACAACCCCAGTGACAATGAAAACGAAGAGAAACAAAAACATGCGCCCAAAAACATTCCCCGGCCACCGTCAAGATGAACAAACGCCCTCTTCCAACCCTGGTACTTAATGGTCCCGGGCAGCAATAAACAAGCCGGAAAAACGTACTACTGCCCCCTGTACCACCCCGCGTGCTGCCACCCGCTACTAATTAAACCTTGATTACCGTAGGCAGCCGGATTAATCAAGGACGGGAATCTCATGCTTTGCAGCTCACCACGCCCCCTTTATTCACTATGCAGCACGGTGCAGTGCTGTGCGCTGTTCACCGCTGAGCGCTCGATTAAGATTAAGAAAGGCGCGGTTCCACGTACAGATAGAGTATATGGCAACGGACGGAGCCGGGCGCGCTTTCCGCAGCGGAGACGCTGCGAGCACGGGGCCTCCTGTTTTTTTAATACTATGGTGAGTATCATATAGTACTATCATGCATATGATACTAGTGTATGATATTACCTGCTAATGCATAGTATTATATATTAGTATCATGTAGTACTCTATTTATTATCATGCATCACACAAAGTACCATAGCATTTATTATGATACGGTATTATAATATGATACTCCATCATCTTTTTTTCCATTTAATGTTATGAGAGCTTCCGATGTTATGACACCTCATTAAAATTGCCTAGTTGGCATGCATGATACTAATTATGATACTACCATTACGATCAGCCTTTAATGTTTTCAGTCGGCGACACAGAGCGCGCGTAGCTAGGGTGGTTAGATGCGGCGCGCACCGTTCGCCACGCGCATGCCGTTTTAATACTACGTCCGTGGAGAAGAGAGATGTGCACGAGGTAATGCGTTCATTAGCAGCAAAAATTACAGTAAGCAGTAAGCAGAGCATGTTGCTAGAGTCGACCATGGGTTGAATAGAAGAGAAGCCGGGACGTGCCAAAAGGTGACATAGTAGCGGAGTGAGCGACAGATAGATAGATAGAGTGTGAGCGAGGAGGGTGGAGTGGGCTACTTCAAAAAAAAGAGAGGGTGGAGTGGGCCCGCCGCACGCCCAGAACCAACTCAAGCTGGAGTAGTGGCCTCCTCTGCCCGTTGCCACGTCACCCCCATCTCCCCTTCTTCCTCCCGGGCCGCCTATATCTTCCCACCGATCCCTTCCCCCCTCACCCTTCTTTCCTCCAGCCTTTCCACACCATCTCCTCCTTTCCGCCACCACCCTTCGCCTCACGAGCTCGCTTCCGGTGAGGAACCGTCTCGCCGTGCACGGGGTTCCTCTGCCTCGCGCCACTTTCCGCCCTAGACCAGCGCATTGTTGGGCTGGGAGCTCCTGCTTTTGAGCTTTGGTGGTGTCGCTGTGTCCGTGTGTTGGAGCTTTGGTGGTGTCGCTGTGTCCGTGTGTTGGAGCGCCTGCGCGTTGCTGGTGGAATGGAGAGGCGCGGGGACAAGGGGGCGTCGGCGGCGGCGGCGGCGCGGGCGAGGCGCCACGCCGACCAGCCGTCCTTCTCGTCGTCGCTGCTGGACGCGATATACAGGTCCATGGAGGACGAGCCGGGCCACCCCGCTGGGGACGCGGTGACTGCGGCGGCTACCAAGAAGAAGCAGCAGCAGGAGCAGGAGGAGGCCCTGCACTACAGCTACTACTACAGGCCGTCGCTGGCCGGGAGCTACCGGGCGCGCGCGCCGGCGCCCGGGCCGCACGCCACCACGTCCAGCTCCTCCGAGTGCTCCAGCTACGGCGGCTTCTCCTCGTCCGAGGCCGAGTCGTCCAGCCACCGCCGCCTGCGCCCCATCCGCACCGCCGTGCCCGGCGGGCCGCCCGCGCCCGCGCCGGAGAAGAAGGCCAAGAAGCAGCCGGCGGGGGCCTCCATCCGCGCCAAGCTCAGGGACCTCCGCAAGCCGGCCTCCCCCGGCGCGCGCCTCGCGGGCTTCCTCAACACCATCTTCGCCGGCAAGCGCGCCGCGCCGCAGACGCCGCCCTCGGCCCGCACGGCGGCGGCGGCGGAGTACGCCTGCTCCTCGGCGTCGTCCTACTCGCGGTCCTGCCTGAGCAAGACGCCGTCCACGCGCGGGCACGCCAACCGCACCGTGCGGTTCGTGGACAGCGACCGCGAGGCGCCGGCGACGGTGCCCGGGGCGGACCGCCGGAGGGTGCCGGTGGAGCAGATGCTGCTCCGGCGCATGGAGATGGAGAGCGACGAGGAGGACGACGAGGACGAGAGCAGCGACGCCAGCTCGGACCTGTTCGAGCTCGAGAACTTGGCCGCCGCCGCCGTGCCGCCGGGCGCAGGGTATCGGGACGAGCTGCCGGTGTACGAGACGACCAGGGTGGTGCTGAACCCCGGCATTGGCCACGCGTGCGGGCACGGCCGGAGCGCCAGAGTCGCCTGATGTTTGCTCGACGGGATCGCGCGCGGGGCCGGTGGGCGACTGTAAAACGGCGGGGGTTACTGTAAAATGCAAAATTAGTTAGCTACTCTAGATGGGAGGTTTGAGTAGGCGTTTTATTACGTGCTCTCTCTTTTAACCTTTGGTGTTGTCTCTGAGATTTTCTTCGTTTCGGGGGTGTGGAGTGTACTCAGTCAGTCAGATGTACTGTAATTTCTAGCCGCAGGAAATCAATCAGTAAAATGTTGTTCCTAGTGTTCATCCTTGGTGAAAATTGCCATGTCTGCCAACCTCACGTGAACTAAAGTTGCCGTAAAAAAAACATTCGGATTGTCATCCTTAAAATCCGAACGTTCAGGAATTTAGTATTTTTGATCAAGAACAACCGGCGGGAAACTTGACGGCGCACCCATCTCATCGGCGGCGAGCGCGCCGCCGTGTGCATTGTACAAGTGCGGAGTGGTACAAGTTGCTCGGCCAGGGTGACATGAAGAGGACGCAACAGCATGTAAAGAGAGACGAGGGGGTACAAGAGAAATGAGGACGGGGGTTGAAAGCCGGGAGGCGGTGGTGGGCGGAGACGGCGACGGCGACGGCGAGCGATGGATTTGACGGGGATGCACACGCTTTGTCTGCTGCCGGCCCGCTAACATGCGAGCTCCTTCTAATCATTACCGGCATCATATCCCTGCGGAATCATTCCTCTTCCTTTCCCTCCCTCCAGCGCGCGAGGCCGCCACCACACACGTCAGCTCCAGCACACTCCAGTTACTCTACTTCAGTAATCCCAGATGATGATGAGTCAGATCGATCGGTCCAAGCATGACACGTCTGCTTGGCCGGTCACGCACTCCTACTAATTCGGGGGCGCGGATCAGCGAATCCGGGAAACAGGGCCGCAATCCTGGCCCGTCGTACGGTCTGAATCTTGCTAATTATGGCCGGCCAGGCCCGTCGTCCGTGGATTGTTGCAGAAGCAAGAAACTTCGGCGTGTTGTATGTGCTAGGAGCTAGGCCGATCGATCGAGGCTGGTCATCAAACCCGTCGACGCAAAATCACCGACGGCTCCAAAGAAGAGAGCCACGATGGTTAGCAGCTTGTGGACTCCGGCCCTGTTTCCCGGGTTTTTCTTCCTCTTTGAGACGCCGGCGTTTTCGAAAGCGTGCCTGCCGCCGCTGATTGATTGCGCCGTCCTTGCTACGTTGGGCCGATCGTGCGACCTCTTTATGTCTGTACGACCGGCGTGCACGTACAGGGATCCCCATGTACCGCGCACTGTAGATCCGTGTCACGCAATATCCGCGCACTGTAAATCAGGAGCAACACATTAACCGGCCACTGTTCGCTGGTGGTAGAAAGAATCGGCACGAAACGCAGTGGGCGCCATTAAGGAAGAAATCAGCAGAGGATCGATGACACTGCTGCCGCTGCTCCCTCCAAAAACCAAGATTTACGGCACGGGTAAAATGAAAGAGTAGATTGACGTGATGCGATGCGATGTGATCCACCAGCTGGCTTAAGTGCGACCAAATCCTCTTCCGCCCGGGCCCCTCGCCAGCTGATCCTCTCATCTGGATCACTCCCTCCATGGTCCATGCGTGGTGTAGCCGCGAGCAATCATCCGATAGAATTATGCGCCAAATCTCACTTTCTATCCTGCCACTGATATGAGCTAATCTCGACCGCGGAAAAGGCGAAATGCTCTATTATTCTGGTGTTTTTCTTCCTCTTTGGCCGAGTTCCTTTCACCCTTTTCTGCCCCGGCTTGTGAGTGCCGTCAGTCAAAAAGAGAGGAGGGTTTAAAGCCTCTCTTGCGATGATCTCAACTGCGAGCCGACCTCAACGAGTGTTAATTTAGTCTTGCTGCTTGTTCCATCAACTTGATTCCCATACTTTCGGAGCATGGCCGTGCTCGACTTGCCACTAAGCAATAAAATAAAAATACCGTCCCGTAGTACGTGGACTATACTGATTTTCCTTCTTAAACTTACTGTATTGAGACTGTATTGGGCTTTTTTTTTTGAGGGAGAGACTGTATTGGGCTTTACTACATGGGAGCTTCAATCTTTCTTTTCTTTGCTTTTCTTTTTCAAGGGCGAGTTGGACAGAGACAGTGCATGGGCATGCAGCATTGGTTGTAATTAAGTTTCTCCAAACAAGGAAATATACCATGTCCAATACAGTACTAGTACCTTAGGACTAGTGGCTGCAGGACTTTGCGTGCAGCCGGAAAGGATGACAAAACCGCAGCCAGTAGCCGGATCCCGGATGGATATGGCGCGGACGAAATCATTTCAGATGCGTATGTGAAAGGATTGAAATGCCTTCTGGACCACGAGACCCAAATTATGTGTGCTGCTGGCCCATGTATCTTTGGATACTCACGAATTGTACGCGCCTAATCACTCAGATTACGACGCCCATCGGAGGACCACCGATAGATCAGGTAGAGCCAATGATCTACACGCAGGATGCACGCATGGCGTACAAAATAACCCACGCTGGCTGATATATTTTCGGCCAACCATTCAAATTGTAGTGGCCGTCCATGCAAAAAAAAAAAGAGAGAGAGTAGTGGCCATGTCCTGTGCGTACCTTTCCGATGATGATGCGGACGATGAACCATTCCATTACACTCTCTCCGTCCCATAATATAAGAAAAATGTTCTTATATTATGAGAAGAAGTAGCTAGCTAAAGACCCGGCCGTTCAAATTGATCAAAGATCAATGATGGCGATAGCTCCAAACCTCATTTCGGCCACTTGGCTGACGGTTTAGCTGCCGATTAAATTACTTTCTCAACACAAAACCTGCGTATAGGAATTCGTTGGAACATGATGCAACCCGATGAACATACGTGTTGTTCGGTCGATGTGTGGAACTGTAGGCTTAATTCATTTTGATCTAAACATCCAACCATAGATTGGTTCGTAACTGTAGACTTAATTCAGACTGAGCACAAAGAAACTGTTGATCGATCCAAACCCAAAACCATGTGCTTGGACACATGGATACCTAGCTCCGGCCGGCAAAGTTGATTAGGAGTAGGATTCGTCTAAACCAATGTGTGGGCTATTATTGGCCTATGGACCACAGCATCATTGTAGGCCGGTAATTAAGCATCCAGAAAAGATAAAAGTCTGCACTGCACTGCATGCACACACATTCTACTCTAGTATTAATCTCCTGAAGCGTACGTACGGCGTCATCTATCTAGTCTCTCTCTCAAAACGGGCAGACTCCCGCAGCTACATGCAGGGCCTGTCAGCAGGCTACAACACATAGGGGGACAAAGATCTTGAGAGCTGTTGAGCAAAGCAACTCGGGCCCCTACACAAAGGCTAGCTATCACTGTATTTTACCAGTAGACTATATCTCAAAAGAAGCTTAGGCCTGATCTAGACCCTAATAATGTGATGTGAGGTACTGGAGTACGCCAGGAGATGGTAATTAAGAAAAAGAAATTTTTGGGCACTTGGAACTAAGAAAGAACATACCAGTAGGAGTTTTAGGAGTGCTTAAAGGTGACGACGTGATAATAAATTAACTAAAGATCGAGGTTTTACTTGCCCATCAGGAGTTGACCCTTGCTTTTTAGCTTCTCCAGCCACTAATCATGCATGATTACTGGTTAATTAATCAGTCCTATGATAACACTGTCCAGTAGCTCAAGCTTAATAACTTGTTGTTGATGGGGGAAAAGGATGCATGTTTGCTCAAAAGTAGAAGGCTAACATATTGCTCCTCTAGCATAAACCTAATACTAGCTAGCTCATTCTTTTGAGTTTTGTTATCGTTATGTGGTGGGGCGGCGTGAGGTGGGTGGCATCATCTAAGCTAGAAATGCATAGAGATACAAACCTAGAACACCTAAGACAATTGTATAATTTATCTGCAAAATTTTGCAACTAACTCCGATGTGCCTGCTCTGTCCTGAAATCCACTAGCCTCGATCGAAAAGGATAATGGATCAAAATCACTGTAGTGTCTTAAAGCTGCTTGACCTAGGGGCTCTCAAATTTCTCAAAAGAAAGCTGACTTTTGTGAGTTTGACAAAATGCACGCATGTAGTGAGTGAACAGTGATCGGATGGGCAACTATTTTCCCGCGTCGTTTTGTTGCACGCATGCAGCGCGCCGGAACACTAACGTGGTCACCGTTAAGTTTTGAACAGATGTGGAGGCAAAACATATGCATGAAAACTATATTCAAATACAAATCCAACGGTATAATTTTCTATGATATACATTAACATTTTATTAGTTAAATATATGATCAAAATTTGACATAAAATATAAAGAAAACCAATAAGCCTGGACGGAGGTAGTGGCATCTAAGCTAGAAATGCATAGACATACAAACCTACAACACCTAAGACACTTTTTTTTTCTGATAAAGACTGCTTTTTATCGATTCATAATGTAGCATCGAGGGATACAATCATAATGAACACACAGACGACCTGTACATCCTGAGGCCGGATCGCACACTACACGTGGCAAACCGTCGGCCCCACCTGTCATCCTAAGTAGTTTCCTAAAGCTGCTTGACCTAGGGGCTGTCAAATGTCTGAAACGAAACCTGACTTTTGTGAGTTTGACAAAATGCACGCATGTAGCGAGTGAACAGTGATTGGACGGGCAATTATTTTCCCGCGTCGTTTTGCTGCACGCATGCAGCGCGCGGGAACACTAGCTACGAACGTGGTGGGCAGCAAGTTTTGAAAGCATGTGGAGGCAAAGATCTGTGCATGGACCGTAGTCCGTAGAGACTTAAATCTTCACATGGACAGTACTGCCGTTTATGTCTCCACGGACGTGCGTGCGTGCGTGCTCACTGTTCACATGCATGCAGGCCCACGAGACGAGAGCGTGCGCGCTATGAGTGTGAGCGCGGGACATGCTGGGTTTGACATTTACACCAGCCGCCGCACACTGTTTTCGACTTCTTGTCAAAGATCGGCGCACGCCGAGCAAACGTATCGAGAGGAAAATGAACTTGTAAAGAACATTTGGAAAAGGAGCAGTGATGAATCATTTGCGCGGGCCGCGCGTGCGTCCGGTAAGTCGGTAACAAGCAGCAACGAATTCTAACTGTTATCTCTCTTGAATCGGAGAGGTGAAAAAAAGAGCGTGCACCGAAGAAGAAAGCCATGGCGATCCCGCCGGTCGTCGACGATCAAAAGACGGCAGAACTTGCATGGCGGGCCGGCGGGGCACCGATCCCGATGCACGGACGGACCAGACAGAGACGTCCATACTCCGCCACAGGAGTACGCGCACAGGGCCCAGCCACGCATGCACGCAGGGGAATCGTGTGCAGTACAGTGCGACGCGAGTGGTGAGCCGGAAGCTTGATCGATCGATCGCCGCAGCTTTCGCTCCGACCGATCAAAAGGAGCGCCGCTGCACGCACCCACGAGAGCGAAAGCTCAGCTTGGGGGCTCGCGCGCGCCAAAGCTCGCGTCTCGTGCGGCCGGTGGTGGGATCGGCCCGATCGGATCGGATCGGATCGGATTCGATCGTGCTGCTCCCACCATCCATCACGGCCGGTGCGGTCAGGCCCGGTCCGGTCCGGTCCGGTCCAGCCCGGCTTTTATTGTTGGAAGCTGCGCGACCGCGACGCGGGAGCCGAGAAACAAAAGGGGAAAGCGACGCGCTCCGGGCTCAGGATGACAGGTGGGGCCGCCGCTTTGCCGCGTGTAGTGTGCAATACGACCATCCATGCATGCCGGCTTGGCCGCCTCAAAAGAAAAGCCTCGTGCTCGTGGCGTGGGTATTCTTGCGGCACGGGCTACCAGTACTCAGTAACTTTTCTTTTCTTTTCCGGCTGGAATGGATTGGATGGGTGAGAATGTTTTTCCTTTGCCTTTTCTGCAGCTTTGAAGGATGGAGGAGGGCTTTGCCTCGTCTCGTCTCGGGATGATGGCCCATCGTGGCGGCCTCTGCCACCCTGCCTGCCACGCGCGATCGCCTCCCTCCTCGCCCCCACGTGCGACTCGACTACATGCAACTCGAGTGCTACGCGGGTACGCACGCACGCACGCACGAACTCCTGGTACGTACGTACGTAGTGCCCGTTTCATCGACTTTGGTTCGTGGCGTCAGCAATGGAGTATGTGCGCGAACAGTGTACAACTGCTACGCACCCGTATTATAAATAGTAGTAATTTGCTAGAGTCCTTGACAGTGCCGCGTGAATGCTGCACGTACGTCTACTGCTGCCGCAGTGATTGCGAGCGATCCGCCCGAATCGAGCGTGGAGGTACGGGCCATGTTCAAAAACTGCGACGTGCGCGCGCTTTTGGCCAACAGGAATCACGGGCCATGCATGCAGGTGCAGCCGTGCAGGTGCAGGTACGTACTACTCTACGCGCGTTCAATGGCTGCACCGCCGCCGCATGCATGCATGAATCGTGCAGATCCACCAGCACAGGTTTCTGACAGTTTTCAGATTGGCGGCCTCGACTAGGGGGGGCGTAGCGTGTAGCAATGGCATGCACAAATTGGGATCTAAAATTCAAGTCACAAATTTAGAACAAAAAAACTAACAGATATAGCGTTGAACTGTAGCAAGTTCAACTGTGTTGATGCATCTGTCGATGCTGCATGTTCAAACATGAAATGATTTTCTATTGGATGAGTTGGGTCGAGAGGTCTGAAACGGGTGACGCGTGAGGTTTCACGTGGAAATGTTTGTTGGAACTAGCGGATTTTCTCGGTGAGATTTTTTGCTAGAGGTAATAGCACCGCAGGTGTTAGAACTTGTTCTAGATGTGATGGTTTAGTCCTAAAACTTGTACAATTCGATTAACTAAGAAGGGAGTAGGACAAACGGATCCAACACAGAAATTAACTAAGGTGGAGTGTAGTGCCGGTTGATTAAAACAAGTGGTAGGGGGGTATCTGCAAAAGGCAGAGAGCTGACGGTCTCCGCCACGCCGCCGCCACTTGGCTGCATGTGAGTGGCTACTTGACATCCATTGCAAGTTGCAGGAGTGATCAGTTCACTTTTGCAAGTTGTAGGACTAAACCCATCATATCTAGAACAAGTTCTTGGTCTGCGGTGCTATTACCTCTTTTTTGCTTCGATAGGCGACGATGATTTTTTTTTGCCGAAATCAAGTTTTTTTCTGCGACCGATGAGATTTTTTGTTGGGTCGGAGATGGCGGAAGTTGCGTCCGTCGATGGGGAAAGCTACAACCAGCAAGCAAAAGAAGCTTCAACAGTCTACAGATAACAATAACCAGCAGCACAACCTGCGAGCGCACTTGAGAAAGAAAGCATGGTGAGGAAATGGGGAGATCGTGGGGGAAGTGCATGAATAAATCTAGGTACAGACGAACCCATTTCAAAAAACACATTTCTAAACGCTAAAAAAAACCTGAAGAAGGTTGCATGGGTATGGTCCATGTTCTATATACGTGCATAAAGTTTCGAGGAAAAATAACATTTTATGGCATGTGGAAAAAAGGCAAAAAATTATGTCATGAAACGCTACTTAGAATCACTGAAATTTGTCTTTTTTGTGAAGACAGACCAAAGAGACATATGTATTTCACAAAACTTTAAGCCGCGCACACACATTTGCGGACATGTATATGCGTGAAATTTTCTTTTGAGTTTTTTGACATTTAAAACCTGCTTAAAAGTTCAAATGCAATTTTTTGAAAAATGAGTGCATATTCCCATGCGTGCAGGGGTGCCGTGCAATGACACTGCGGGTGCGATCTATCGGGAGCTGGCGCCTGTCGACGGGTGCCTAGCACTATCCATTTTTTAACTCGCAAACAAAGGGGGGATGAATGTTTTTTTTTCTTGAACACAGTACGGCCGTAAAGCGCTTATATATATGCATACACTCACTTGTATGAACGCACACATGTGTCCTACCCTTGCGAGCACCTCTGAAAGATTAAACCGGCATATCATCTTGATATTTTACGAAGTCACTGTAGACACCTTGTAGTCGACGGAAACGTTTCCTCACTGAAGGCGTGTGGCTGGAAATGCTGAAACAAAGGGGGCAATGAATGTCTTGGCGCACGCACGTACGTGCGATCCTTGTGATGCATTGATGGGGAACTGAAGGTGCATCACATCATGCTACACCATCGGGCCTGCCCTGCCGCTACCTGCAGCAGGAGGCCGATCGCACGGAGCGAGACAGCGGTGGTAGGGGCCGGCCAGCCCAGCCATGGAGCAGTAAAAGAAGCAGGCGGCGCAGCCTCCCACGCGACCGACGTGCCGGCGAAGATGCCGCAGTGAACACGGGGCAGCCAGCCATTCAGGCAGTGGTGGGTCGACCGGGCTGTGCGATGGTGATAGTTTTGGGCGTTGTTTCGGCTGGGCTTGGCATCGCCGTGGCTCAAACGAGAATCACACCTGAAACCACCAAAATTCAGCAATACTCGATTAACAACCGCAAGCACCAAGCAGGGCCAGTGGCGGTGACGAACCACTGGTGCATCTGGGGAGCTCGATCGTCTCCTTGGGTCCACGCCGGGCCATGCATCGATCTCATCTTACACTTTTTCTTCGATCGACGCGCTGCAGCAGCAGGTGTATGCACAGTGGTAGCGATGCATTGAAGAGAAGCGGATTTGAAAGTTGAAACCCGGCGAAGCGAACTCGCTTTTTTTTTAAAAAAGAAATTGAGGGGAACTCGCTTTTAATTAACGGAAGGAAGGCGTGATGGGCGCATAAATGGGCTCACATCTCCGGACCCGAAATGCTGGCCGGCCTTCTTCGGCTCATGATGAGCTCGCCATGCCTCCTCTGCTGTCTCAGTGTTTCATCGCCTGCCCGCCTGGCGCCTGGCGCCTGCACCGGCAGTGGTACTGTCTTCAGAAGCCATGTTCCTGTTCGAGCAGGCTGCAGCGTGGCCAGGACGCAGGGGGCAGCTCCTTCATGCTTGATCATTTATGGTTACCACAGTGCACACAGGCTGGCCTGGCCTGCCACACTACTCATTTATAGCTGCCACGGACGTAAGGCCCAAAAATAAGCCGAAAACATGGGGTACATCTGATCCAGGACAGCCATCTCTGTGCCTTCCATGTTCTTCAACTCACTCCACTCACGTAACGTAACCCTGCATTATTTATACAAGGCTAAAAATGAGATAGGAAGAAGTAATCATGTTTGCTTCATCTCCAACCATAAGAGAAGTAACCCAGCAGGTCGAGGGACACGGCTCCTCTGCCGTGCGCTAGGTGACGTCGGGCCACTGACATGTGGGCCAGGTTTCCAACAGGCCCACATGTCAGTGGTAGAACGGCAGGCTGCCAAACGGTAGAGGAGGTGGAGACGTTGAGTACAGTTTTCGATTTTTGTTCCCGCCAAGGGGTTTGATTATTTCGCAACTCAGACAATTGTACATATTACATGTCTCTCTTATTGGTTTTGTCCCCTTTTCACACATTATGTGCCAGGAGTGCAAATTACAGATGAAGACGTGCCACATGCATCTCACGAATCAAAGCATATGAGCCTGCCTTCTCAATCAGCGATTCTTGCTTCATGGATCATGCCTACCCGAGCAATTCAGACAGTCTACTTGGAACCCGATCCCTGGACATCTACCAACTGGTAAAGATCTCCACGTCGTTGATGTCGCAGAGGAAGAAATTGCCTGAACAAAAAGATGTTGGTCAGGCGATTAGATCAAGCTGAGAATAAACACCACCATGAAAAAGCCTAAGATTCAATCATTCTGCCTACCTCCTCTGCTCAATCAATGAATAATCAATCTCAGCTATTATAGTTGATTCGTCATGCTCAGTTGTGGCGATCACCTCACCAAACTGGAAAATAAAATGCCAACAGTTAAGCGCATACCATCACTGAAATAAGAGTTTTCAGAGTGCTGGGCATATGAAATGGCATGGCTCAAGGCCAAGTCACTACAGCAGCAACATAGTATTCCTTGCATTAGTGCTGAGTTTAACTTCCAGGTCTGGACTCCGGAGCACAAAAGATCAGGAGGCTCCTGGCAAACTACCGAAGAACTGGCATCTTAAAATCAGTAATCAACTCACCGGTCCAACAAGAGTGGAATGTCCCCAAGCAACATAGCTTGAACTAGTATCTCGAGCTGGAGCACAGGTTGCCACAAAAAGCTGAAAGAATGATGACTGTTACTACTTGAAAGCGAAAAGCTGGAAGCAGAAATGATGAGTTTCTGTACAGAAAAATGGAGGGCAGCACAGCAGTGTTCCTCATACCTGGTTGTCAGCAGCCCTGGCATCATAAAGATATATTCAGAACAGAAGCAGAGAAGATGTAATGCGATATAAATAGGAAAGATGCTTCAGATAGTACTCCTAGAGAAATTTTGATACGAGCGTTGATCTTTTGACTAGATCTATTAGAAGTATCTTATCATCAATAGAAGTACAAGATATTCAACCTCATTATGTATCTGTTGCATTTCATCTCTAGGTTCAAATGATTCAGATTTCAGAAGATACATACCTTGCCCGTTGAAGCAACTCCCAGTGCAATGGCCCAGTAGTCATGTTGAAAGCACCAGGATAGCATAGCAAATGAGCACCTGCAGTCAACGAGAGAGCATTATTATATTTTGTATGATCAACAGTGAAGTTGCACGTATTATGTCATTAGCGACTAAAAATCTAGAGGTTGCAAGCTATTATGGGCTCGGTCCCAGTGTCAAGCAACACGACTACTGCAGCGTGTGAAAAGTACATACAGTTAATAGTAGCAACTCTCAACTCATTTTAGTCGAAAGGTTATCTATTGAGCTGCATCCATGACATGAACTCGTAACTTTTGGACCAAAGATATTTCCACCAGACTTTAACTAGAAAGGCAAACAAAGTACTTATATCTCATAAACCTTGATAGTCAGTCATGCTAGTTGCATAGTTTTAAGATTCCTTTCTTAGACAGGTTCTTCGTTGTCAAAACATTCATCTATATAAGCATGGAATTCAGGGATTGTATCTATTATTGATTAAGAAAGAAAAAATAAAAAAATTATCTAGTCTACCTCCCTTTTCACCAGGCAAAAAGACTGGAGAAAGATCCTCCTACCAGCAGACCCTTAACCAACCAGGCCCATAGTACAAGTAAATACCGGCCAAATTATATTTTGCTATGAGTTTCTGAGACCAAATAATGTGATCCATTATGCACATACATAGTAAGTTAGCAGCTGCTACGAATCAAATGAAGTGGTTAGCATTAAAGCAATCCTAGAAGTATTTTGTGATTATAACACCAAAAAACATTACAAACAGATAAATCATGTGTACATTAAAAATAGGATGCGAGAAATTTAGACCTCTTGCAGCATACAACATTGCCAATTCCTGGAAACGAATGTCATAGCAAATGCCTATACCAATTCGGCCTACATCTGAAAACAATTGACACTATATTAGATTTTATATGCAACAAAATAAATTAGTTGTGCTGTATCAAGAAAATAAAGCAGAACAAAGATGACCGAATTCAACTAGCTACAACAAATTGCAGAAGAAATCTAGGATGCAGAACTGAACGGACAATGAGTACTGAAAGCTTAAATAACATATCCGAAGGAGATTCTTAAAGCCAAGAAACATGGGAAGTCCATATGGAAAGGTATGGCTTTAAAAATATCAACATCAATCATAAACATGCTCTGTTTGTAAACCTTAATTTATATGACCCAGACAAAAAGTTAGGGATGCGTCGAAGATCTTGTGGTTTGAGAGCTACCTAATCATAGTGTGGTTTATTACAGCAGAGTAATAAGACAAACCTGTGTCAACAACAGTAAGATCCTGCCCAGCGGTAAGGGTTTTTGATTCCTGGAATGTAATCTTTCCTGGAATATCAATGTCAAAAAGATGGACCTGCATTCATGAAAAGTTTCATTGCTGTGACATAAAAAACCAAGAAGGAACCACCTTAGGAATAATATTGTTTAGTGTGGAAGAAACAAAATGCCACAAGGCGTAAGTTAACTAATCAAATGTTGTGAATAAGGTAAGTTCACTAATTAGCTTGCGGAAATGAGTAAATTTATAAAATATGTGCTTCGCTTGTGACTTCGTGAGAACATTATGTTTTACATTCGTCAGAAGAGAATCACAGTACTACATGGAAACATCATGATTGATGTACTAGACGTTCTGAACATGTCAGTAATAGTATTTAAAAACAGTGGTTCTTCAAACATAGTTCATCCGGTGGGCGTTGTTGTCTGTCACTATGACATACTCAATTTATGTGTCTTTCACTCTTCAGTTATTATATAAACAAACTAAAAGGACAGACCCAGTGCATAGAAGCTCCCACACAAGGTGGGGTCTGGGGAGGGATTATAGGAACCTAGTCTTACCCCTGCAAAGTGCAATGCAGAGAGGCTGGTTCGAACCCAGGACCTCTTGGCACAAGTGGGGAGGACTTCACCACTGCGCCAGGCCTGCCCTCTTATTATATAAACAAACTACTTAACGGAAATAAGTTTCCATACATACCTTTCTATGTTTACCCTTAAGCTTGCCATCTGAACCAAAGACGCAGCATGTATTGTACAAGCTGTTACCAGAACGTTCTGATATGGATCCACCAACAAGAGTAATTTGCAAGCTGCGAGCAACATCAGACATCATTGAAAATGAAGGAGCTGCATCGCCACCAGCCTCAATGTCCTCAGCATACTCTGGAAAGCTTTCATTTGAATATGGACCATTCCATATCTCCTACACACATAAAAACACGAAACTGCAATAGGTGAAAGGTAATAAAAAAGCAAAAGTGAATTTCGTACCAAATGATCTGATAAGAGAAAGTGGACTAAATTATCAAAGCAAAATCAGATCCAGCCTAGTGAATGCATGTTAAATCATGCAACACAAGATGTGGAAATGATATCATGGTTCAAAAGTCAAAGCCTGTTTGAGAAGAAAAATGACAAACCGAAGTGCCAAACTATATTTACGAAGTTAGTGAAACTTGTTGGAAATGATATCATGGTTCAAAAGTCAAAGCCTGTTTGAGAAGAAAAATGAGAAACCGAAGTACCAAACTGTATTTACGAAGTTAGTGAAACTTGTCCTAATTAACTTATAATAGGCTGAGAAAAAAGGCAAGTATTGGGCAAGCTATACAGAAGTGAGTGGTGCCAAAACCTATTATAATGTTGTATTATCTTTTGACAATTGGAAAAAGAAAATAACGGCATTATACCACAAATTTACAATCTGGCTCATGGCCAAACGGATGCCAAGTGCCCGGGCCTCAATAGTCAATACCACAATGTTGGTAGTTAGTAACTCCGGAACTGTCGGACTAGAAAACTGTAACACGTGGCATAGTGGGCCTGTATTCTAGTACAATCTACTCCCTCCGTCCCATAATATAAGACGTTTTTTGACACTACATTATGGGACGGAGGGAGTAACTTTTAGAGTACATCTCAATAAAAAAAAAGGGCAAGTGCATGTAGCTCCCGCTTGCGCAGGGTCCAGGGAAGGGTCCGACCACTTTGGGTCTATAGTACGCAGCCTTTCCCTACATTTCTGTAAGAGGCTGTTTCCAGGACTTGAACCCATGACCTCATGGTCACAAGGCAGCAGCTTTACCGCTGCGCCAAGGCTCCCCTTCAAAAGGACAGACCCAGTGCATAGAAGCTCCCACACAAGGTGGGGTCTGGGGAGGGATTATAGGAACCTAGTCTTACCCCCTCAATATCACAGCTAATTTTTTGCCGAAATACAGTTTTCGCTGCTTTCATTGTGTTAAGAAGGGGAACAGATTTCACTGCTTTTATTGACATATCAGAAGTAAACATGCACATGATATGATTCAGTGCTATGATCCTCCCCCCCTCGGTGCATATACTCACGCTTGAATCTTATACAATCACCAGTCAGTCAAGGTAACGATGCTACGGTAATATGCTTCTACCCATAAATTCCCGCGGAATCACGACGCGATCACTCTATACAATCAACAGTCAATCCTCAACGGCCCTGTCATCCGAGAGGAAATTGGTACTGACAGAGCTGGTAATAACAGGGCTTCGTTCGTAGGCACTCACCGGGAGGAGCACGAGCTTGGCGCCGTCGGCCGCAGCGGACTCGATGGCCGCGCGGGCGCGCGCGATGTTGCGAGCCTTGTCCGCCGTCACCGACAGCTGGCACAGCGCCACCTTGAACTGCGCCCACAGAACCCAAACCCTCTTCAGATCAAACCCCGACCCGACACAAAACCAAAGCGATCAGCTCGAACCGGGAAGGGAGGGTGACCTTGGAGAGCGGCGGGGCCGGGGGCTCGACGGCGGGGGGCGAGCGCGCGGCCTCCGGGCGGAAGGAGGAGGCGGCGGCGGCCATCGCGGCGATACGGGGTCGACGGCGGTAGGGGAGGCTGCTGGTGGTGGGAGCGGAGGTCCGGAGGCGGGAGGGCGAGAGGAGGGAGAAGGCTGTGGATGTGGCCGCGGCTCTCATCGGGGGACGGTGTAGTGTAGCGCGGAGGCCGGCGTGAGTCGTGACGCCGACTGGATGGGGGTGGTTGGGTCTTCGGAGCGGATGGGATTCGGCTGACGGCGGGGCCGGGCGTCAGTGTCACGGTTGACTGTGATGGGCTGGTGGCACTTGTCTTGCTTGCTTCGCTTCGGTAGTAGGTACAAGTTGTGTCATATAAAACATGAACTGAAGAACCGGAAATCCCTTTTGAGCTCGGCGTCCAGTGAGGCCTCTAAATTCAAATTTGTAATTTCATTGAAATTCATATTTCTACATTTCAAAAAAATTCTGAAAAAATATAGATATACATGTAGGCACAACTCAGTTCAAAATACATTGAAATGAGGGCTATGCAAAAAAGACAAATCTGGGCTATTTAACACATGATACTATTCATCTTTCCAGGCCATGAATTTGCCCTTTTTGTCTAGGTCACAACTCAAGGTATTTCATCATGAATTTTTACACACATGTGGGTTACATCCTTACATACACGCATATTTTTTCGGAATTTTTTGAACCATAAAAGTTTGAATTTGAATTTTTCAAAAATAAAGGCTTCAAAACACCTCTCTCCTGAAGAGCAACATATTGAATTAAATATTTTATTATTTTCGATCTAGTATCATATTAGTGGCGGGAGCGTACACCCGTCGGTTGTGGCGCCCCGACACTCTGTGATTGCACCCTTTGGTCCGATTCGACCATGGCGGCTTCACCTAGATAGCTCATGCTCTCGGGTCCGGATGAATGGGTGTGGGAGTGAGACCGGTTGAAACCCTTGGCCTTAGGTAGAGGGCACGACGATGTCGGCGCCGGTCCCCTTCTCAAAGGCCTTATCGAGGTCCCCTCCCATGTTTCTCATCCTCACCTCTCGCTTTAGGTGAAAGTCTTGGTTCCCCTTCTGGATGTCAGCGGCGTATTGGCATCACTCCCCTTCATGGAAGTGTCGTCCACGGTGGCGCTTTGTGGAAAGCAGATGGTGGTGGAGAATTGTTCATTGTTCTACATCCTCTCCGTCCAGTCTTTGTCTTCTCGTTCTTTAGCTTGCGTCGATCTGGATATGTGGTTGACATGTGTTTTGCGGTGAGTCCGTGGGAGTTCTGCGGTGGTGGTTAGCACTCTGCCCCTCATGCTCGAGTTGCTAAGTCGGCTTTGTCCATTTGGCTCTAGGGTGAGCACCCTGCCTTCCGACGGTACAACACCCTTCGAGCTGACGCAAGAGGATCATGATCCTCTCCGGAGGTAGAATCGAATGGCTTGTCGGCCTTGGCATGTTCTGCAGGAATAGGCGAGGAGTTGTTGGTTATCGATGCTGGTGTCTTGTTGATTTTCACCCTGGTGTTGGTGTGGCCTCTGGTTTTAAGAGTTTGGCCATGGTGATTTAGGCTAGGCTCGTTTGCATATTATGTTTGCATATTTCAAAATTAGGTTGTAAATTATTCCAGTACTCTCTATCTTTCCCGTCTTCTGTTTTCTTCGTTGTACAACTGTTTGATGTAATCTTGGTCAGCTGATGGCTTTGTTAATTAAAAATCGGGCTAGGTTAGAGCGGTGAATCCGTGGGAGTTCTGCGGTGGTGGTTGATACGTCTCCAACGTATCTATAATTTTTTGTTCTGTGCTGTTATATTATCAATCTTGGATGTTTTATAATCATTTTATATCATTTTTTGGTACTAACCTATTGACACAGTGCCAAGTGTCAGTTGTTGTTTTTTGCATGTTTTTTATATCGCAGGTATCAATATCAAACGGAGTCCAAACGCAGCGAAACTTTTTGTGAATTTTTTTGGACCAGAAGACAACCAATGGGTCGAAGAAGCACCTCGGGGCTGCTCCGAGGGGAGCACAACCCACCAGGGCGCGCCTGGGGGCCCAGCGCGCCCTGGTGGGTCGTGCCCACCTCGGTTGCCCCTGGACCGCCTCTTTAATCTATAAATACCCCAATATTCCAAAAACCCTAGGGGAGTCGATGAAAATTAATTTCAGCCGCCGCAGAGTCCAGAACCACTAGATCCAATCTAGACACCATCACGGAGGGGTTCACCACTTCCATTGGCGCCTCTCCGATGATGCGTGAGTAGTTCTTTGTAGACCTCCGGGTCCGTAGTTAGTAGCTAGATGGCTTCCTCTCTCTCGTTTGATTCTCAACACAATGGTCTCTTGGAGATCCATATGATGCAACTATTTTGCGATGTGTTTGTTGGGATCCGATGAACTTTGAGTTTATGATCAGATTATCTCTTTTTATCCATAAAAGTTATTTGAGTTTCTTTGATATCTTATATGTATGATTGCTTATAGCCTTGTATTTCTTCTCCGATATTTCGGTTTTGTTTGGCCAACTTGATCTATTTATCTTGCAATGGGAAGAGGTGCTTTGTAGTGGGTTCAATCTTACTATGCTTAATCCCAATGATAGAAGGGGAACCGACACGTATGTATCATTGCTACTAAGGATAAAACGATGGGGTCTATTTCTACATAAATAGATCTTGTCTACATCATGTCATCATTTTTATTGCATTACTCGGTTTCTCCATGAACTTAATACACTAGATGCATGTTGGATAGCGGTCGATGTGTGGAGTAATAGTAGTAGATGCAGTCAGGAGTCAGTCTACTAATCTATATAATGATCATTGCCTGGATATCGTCATGAGTATTTGAAGTTCTATGAATTGCCCAATAGTAATTTGTTCAACCACTGTTTGCTATTTTTTCTCGAGAGAAGCCACTAGTGAAACCTACGACCCCCGGGTCTCTTTCTCATATTATTTGCCTTTACGGTCTATTTTCCTTTCCTTTTATTTTTAGATATATTAAACCAAAAATACAAAAATACCTTGCTACAAATTATTCTTAATTATTTTATTAGGTGTTCGATCTATCAATCTACTATAATTTATTCACGTCCATTTGCCAATTTCTGGCGCCGTTACCTGAAAGGGATTGACAACCCCTTTTACACGTCAGCTTGCGAGTATTTGTTATTTGTGTGCAGGTGCCATTTACGTGTTGTTGCTTGGTCCTCCTACTGGTTCGATAACCTTGGTTTCATCACTGAGGGAAATACCTACCGTCGCTGTGCTGCATCATCCCTTCCTCTTTGGGGAACTACCGACGTAGCTTCAAGCCGCTATCAGTGGTTAGCGCTTTGCCCCTCATGTGCGAGTTGCTAAGTCGGCTTTGTCCATTCGGCTCTAGGGTGAGCACCCTGCCTTCCCACGGTACAACACCCTTCGAGCCAATGCAAGATGATCGTGATCCTCTCCGGAGGTAGAATCGAATGGCTTGTCGGTCTTGGCATGTTCTGCAGGAAATAGGCGAGGAGTTGTTGGCTAACGATGCCGGTGTCTTGTTGATTTTCACCCTGGTGTTGGTGTGGCTTCTAGTTTTAAGAGTTTGGCCATGGTGATTTAGGCTAGGCTCATTTCCATATTATGTTTGCATGTTTCAAAATTAGGTTGTAAACTATTCCAGTACTCTCTCTCTTTCCCGTCTTTTGTTTTCTTCTTTGTATAACTGTTCGATGTAATCCTGGCCAGCTGATGGTTTTGTTAATTCAAAGTCGAGTTAGGTTAGAGCCCTATCTTAGGCTCATTACTAGAATCTACAAATAGCCCTAGGGCTGAAATGGCTCCCTAGAGCCAAAAATGGACACCCTAGGGACATAAAATTTACCTAGGGTGTTACTTGACAGCCCAAGGGAGCGCATTGTTTCCTTAGGGTTTGCTAGCAGACCCAAGGGAAATTCACTGCATTACTGAGAGGGCACAGAGATACCTCTCCGATACACGCGGTGACAAATCCTAATCTTGATCTATGCCAACTCAACAAACACCTTCGGAGACATCTGTAGAGCTTTATAATCACCTAGTTACGTTGTGACGTTTGATAGTACACAAGGTGTTCCTCTCATAGTCAGAGGAATATGTATAAGTCATGAAGAAAGCAATAGCAATAAAACTAAACGATCATAATGCTAAGCTAACGGATGGGTCTTGCCCATCACATCATTCTCTAATGATGTGATCCCGTTCATCAAATGACAACTGTAACACCTCGGATGTAACTTTCCCAATTTGTACTCCAACTCTTGCCGTCTCTGGCGTTAAGTTATATTTATTTCCTCGGGTTCGGATTTTGTCTCCGTGTGTTGTTTTCGTTTTCATGCATCTCATATCATGTCATCATGTGCATTGCATTTGCATACGTGTTCATCTCTTGCATTCGAGCATTTTCCCCGTTGTCCGTTTTGCATTCCGGCGCTTCGTTCTCCTCCGGTGGCCATTTCTAGCTTTCTTTCGTGTGTGGGGATTAAACATTTCCGGATTGGACCGAGACCTGTCATGCGGCCTTGGTTTACTAACCGCCTGTCAAGTTTCGTACCATTTGGACTTCGTTTGATACTCCAACGGTTAACCGAGGGACCGAAAAGGCCTCGTGTGTGTTGCAGCCCAACACCCCTCCAATTTGGCCCAAAACCCACCAAAGTCTGCTCCATGTCCTAGAGCGTTCAATCACGTTCGCGTGGCCGAAAACCGCACCTCATTTGGACTCTCCTAGCTCCACTTATGCCTATATATACACCCCCCGTTTTTCGGATCTTCCCCTACCTCTGAACCCTAAAAAAAAATCCCACCGCGCGCCGCCGGACACATTCCCGCCGACGGACACGTCCGGTCCGCCTGTCCACCGCCACGTGGCGCGCCACGATTCGCCCCGCCGCCCGGTCCACATCGCCACCGCCGCCGGGCCCGAAGCCCATCTTCAGCCCGCTCCCGCGCCCGACCGGGCCACTCCGC